ATTCAAAGCCTGCGTGTCTGAAGTCTTTGTCGCTGTTTGCGTTGCAGGCCGTTTCACGCTGCCCGCAATTTTCCCCTTCTCATGTCAGAATTTTGGGAACGCTTTAGGATTAATCAAAGGGCACTTTCGAAGTGAAATACACAAAGACAAATTGAGAATATTAGGCTTTAATTTAAGTAATGGATTTAAAAAAAAAAATCATCGCAAATCGCTGTGTGATCTAAAAAAAAGGAAAACGGGGGAAAGGTTCCTGTTGTTTAAGGCAAATTGACCTTTCAACCTGTGACAGCACATTGCTTTGTTTTGGGGGGTTTTCCCTCCTCAATCTTTACAAGTGTTCCTTACCTGAACCTGTCAAACAGTTAAACTGTGTGATAGCAGCATTAAATGCTTTACAGGATGAATTCAATTTTAGTTTTATGAGTTAATGATGTTCGAGGCCGACACCTGCATTGCTGTGTTTTAATAATAAACTAAGAGGCATCAGGTCGTCATCAAACGTTGGCGTTCCTTTTTCCCTCCACTTTCATTCAAATACATTCATCTGAGCTCTTTGCCACTTGCTTTGCTCACGCTGGTCCCCGATCTCCAAAGTCTTACCTGTGCCCAGGCCCTCATTCTTTAAACAAAGTCACATCAGACCTGCACCGGTGAACCCCTGGCGAGTGGGCTTTGGTGGATGAAGCCCACAGTGATGAGTCACGAAGTAATGTCCATCCTGGCAGCGCTCGCTCTCACACATCGGTCTCCTGCAGTGACAGCTCAGACATCCCCAGCCAGCTGCGATTGAGTTTATTCAGCTCTGCGTACTTAAGAGAAGCCACCGTTTTTGCGGGGCTGCTGTCAGTCTGTGTGCAATCTGTTTGCAACATCCACGCGATTCAGGTGGAGACGGGTCACGCACCTCGGGGTGGGAGGGAAGGCGCACACGGGGGTATTTAGACGAACACCTCCATCCAGTATAAACAGAAATTTCAGCAGCCTGTTACTATGGCAACAAGAAGTGTCAGCGGTAGTGGCCTGCAGTGCCATATCGCTCTCTTGCTCGCTCTCATGTACAGAGCAGCATAGTCTCTTGATGTTTCACCAACTCGCCCACTCGCCACCAGTGTCACAATGAGAGCTGAGAGTCAGACAGCGATGACAGCAGAGAGAACGAGAGGCCGTTTCTGCTCTACCAGAATCGATTGGGAGCGAGGCTGAAAGTTGAGGAGCAGAAGTACAATTTTTTTTTTCAAATTGGTATTTAAGCCCTAATTGTGTGTAATGAGATCCAGAGTTGAAACTTTAAAGCAGTGCTGACATTTAGCAGATCATTATCAGTATGCGTGTCAGATATATGGTCAAAATGGCGACCTGCTGGTGGCGCCAAACAAAAAGACTTAAGGGTGACTTAGGTGAGAAGGGTTCATCCTAAGGTGGGCATGACTATCCACCCAGATTTCCTGCTTTCATGGCGGTCCATTGTGTAGTTTGTTACTCTGGCTGACAGTGTTCAGGTGTTCAGTAAGGCTGCAAACAGTCTGGGAACCTTTCTGCTGACCTCAAGGACATTCATGCGTATTCATGTGACATTAATTAAAAAATAAATTGTTCATAAAATTAGTAAAATAGTAAAAAATGTTCACCACACCATTTCTTTGTTTAACTTAATATACATTTGCTGACCACTTTGTTGGGTACACCTGTTCAACTGCTCATTATTACGAATACTGTATCTAATTGGCCAGTCGCATGGTAGCAGCTCAAAGCCTTTAGACATCCAGACATGACCAGGGCGGCCTGGTGAAGTTCACCCTGAGCCTCAGAATGAAGAAGAAAGTGACTTTGAAAGTAGCACTCTTGTACGGCCATCTCTCGGGTTTACAGAGGATGGTGTGAAAAAAAGACAAAGTGCTGAAATCATGAGCGACAGTTCTCTTGGCAAAAATGCCTCAGCAGCTGAAGACCACACCAGGCGCAACAACTACCAGCTGAGAACAGAAACTGAGGCTACAGTTCACACAGGGTCACTAAAACTGGACGACAGGAAATTAGAAAAATGTTGCTTGTTCCGATGAGTCTCGATTTCTGCAGCAAAATTCTCATGGAGTCCGAATTTAACAAACGTGGAAAAAGAGATTCACCTTGCCTCCTATCAGTGGGTCAAGGTAGTGGTGTAAATCCCTCAGTACCAGATGAACATTGTGTACCCATCTTCTGATGGCTACTTCTAGCAAGATAATGTGCCATATCAATAAGCGCAAATCATCTCAAACTGTTTTTTTGAACAAAATGAGTTTACTGTGCCCGAATGGCCTCCACAGTCACCAGATTTTGCTCCAGCAGAGCACCGTTGGGATGTTGTGGAACATCATGGATGTGCAGCCGGCAAATCTGTGTGATGGTGTCAACTCAATATGCAGCAAAATATCTGAGGAATGTTTCCAGTACCTTGTTGAATCGGTTCCATGAAGAATGAAGTCAGTTTTGAAGGTCCAACCTGGTAACGTGTCTGTTACGGTGTTTCCACAGCTGTCTGAACTTTACTAAACTCTGAACCAAAAACAATTCTAAAAATGAGGAGTCTCCATATCGAAGTCTCTCATTTAAATAATGTCATTGTTGGTTGTTATTCAGTTGTAGCAGTTTTCTCTTTTTTGAATCACTCAAATGTCTTTGGATTCTGCACTGTTGGCTGCACAAAAGACGTCTTTTCAAAACGTCTCAGATTTGACTTTTTTTTTCCTTTTACATTTCATATAATAAATAAAGTGATTCATCAAAAAAGTCCGAGTAATTTCCAGTGAAAATCATAGCTGCATTCCTACAGCAGTTAATTTCCAATTGACTGAATTAATTGGTCAATTATCCCATCATTTTAACACTAAATTGGTGCTTAAACTGCGTATTGATTAATTTCCCCCTTGTAAACCAGCTGATCTCTGAAGGTGAAAACAAATTAGACTCTAAATGGGAGTCCAGTTTCCAAGGGTCTGATTGTTTTTTTTTTCTTGTTTTTTGTTTTTTTAAATCAACCAAGTAAAACTGGTACATCCCTCAGTCCATCATTCACACAGTTATTTACACAAGAAAAATAAAAGTCAGTAGGATTAAGTTACCAAGGCAACCTGTCCTCTGATCCACTACTGCAGTTATTTTCTCTGAGCTCGGAGGACGTTTAAGGTGTTTTCCATCAGTCCTCAAACCAGCTTTTATCTTTATGTGCTTTATTTGTTCTAATCTCAGAAATTGATACATCATTGACTGATTGAATCCCACCTCATCTGCTTTGCTTATGCGTGGATTACAGCTATATTTAGTGGTATGTAAATCGTGCGGTGGCGGAGCTTCTGTGCTCGACGGGACTCAGCTCTGGCACTGTAGGTTCATTCCACCACCTCTGTGCTTCTCGTCCAGGAAAAATGCCTCAAGACTTATAAAATGTCAGGCAGCGTGTTTGTAAGCTTTTCTTTTTTTTTTTTTTTTAAGTTTCCTACACAGAACCCACAGCACTAATATGCAGCTAAGTAGGTATTAGGGAAACTTCCCATCTTCTCTCTGTGGAGCCCTTTCCAAAAATGTATCCCCCTACAGAAAAGACACTAACTCAGCAGTGTAATTAAACTAAATTTTACCAATTGTCAGTTCTATTGTACAATATTGAACAGGAATCACAAAAGTGCACAAGAGGCATCGGTTCAAAAGGAAGGATCATACATCGTGTTATCCAGATTCAGGTGAGTTACAAACAGGAGGGCAAAACAGAAAAAGAAAAAAAAATCCCTTCATTCGATATCTCAACTTTAAGACAAGATTGAAACTGATGAAAAATAAAAACTTAGTATTACAGAGTAAATATGTCACTACAACATGTGCCTTTGATTTCAAATGGAGCAAGTTTCAAGATGGACTTCCTAGAAGCAGCTGTGGCACCATCCTGAAAACCTCCTGACTTCTTTAATATGTTATCGTACACCCGTGGAGACATTAGGTTAAGGTTGATTTACTTCTTACGTTCAAGAAATGGTCGTTGTAGAGAGGCACCAAAAATAAATAAATGCATAAAACATCCCTCTCCCCTTGCAAAAAACAAAACAAAATTTTGACAAGTTTTTAGTGAAAAGCCCCATGCCATCTAAAGTGAAGTACACTTTCACATCATCCACCCATCGAGCAGCACCGAGTCCCCTCACCCAAAAATAACCACCACCATAACAAAAACCGAGTGTGTAGGAAGCACATCGAGAGCCTTGGAGACATCTTTGTTCTGCAAATGAGCAATACTACTGCGCGCACACACAAAGTCCTTTAAACACTACACTCATGGCTATACGGGGTTCCCAATATTATTCTGGATGTTCTGGAAGGAAAGCTCCCGGGAAAAGTTTTTTCCTTCTTTAATCTAATCAAAAAAGTGTTTACATAAAAGAGAGTTGATAAAGTCAGCTGAGGGCTCTTATTTTTAATTTATTTATTTATTTATTTTTAAACATGGCTTTCATCATTTACGTTTCTCATCTCATTAACATCCTCGGGGTGTGCATGCTTGTCTCCTTTTTCATCTCAGTTTATTAGCAAGAATTTTAATGTATCTTCAGGTTTCCTCAACAAAAAAAAGAAAAAGAAAAGTTGTTATTATGGTGATGGTCATCGATTGGCCAGTTCTCCTCACCAGGTAGGTTTAAGCTCACCTGGAGGCACTTTGTGTCACGGCCATTTGTCACATATGTGCATATAATCTAATAAGTACAAACTGTCTTCCAACACACCTGAGATAGAAGAGAGGCAACAGCGAGGACAGCCTGTACAAAGATTTCATCTTTAATTCTCGAGCGGGACACAAAGATTAACACCAATTATTACTTGAGTGATGCTGAGCAGCATTGTCTCTGTTGTTCATTTTAGCCCTTTAAGTCCCCTCCTCTACTCTAAGCTCAGACTTCCTTGTGCAGAAGTGCTGCCTTCAGGAAAAAAAACAAAACAGAAGAAAGACAGATGGACAGAATCTAAGAACCCACAACCTGTTTTTCCCCCACAGAAACGGTTAAGTAAGCTCAAAGTGTGACTCTTGATTTAGTTTTGCAATGCCAGCACACGAAATCGAGCCATTTGGTGGAGTGCACTGGCCTTCCTCCCTCCTTTTAGTCTGCCAGTCTCTCTCTCCCTCTCTCAAAAACATCTTTCTCACAAGGTAGTGTTTATTAGAAGCCAAAGCTGAATTGTGTCTGTGTGGACGTCACCTTGGGGGAATAGGTGCCACACAGTTTCTGCCCTGTAGTGAATCCTTCGTACCTGACCTCCGACCCTTTTAGCTCAGTGCTACTTTTCCTCAGTTATCAGCACCCAGCTTAGACAGCCCCTGCCTGAACTCTTGCAGCTCATCTAGCTTTCCATCTAGAACATCCATCAACTTCTTCAGCTCGATCTTCATGTTTCCTTGCTTTTGTCGGCTGTCGTCTATGTCCAGCTGAAGACCCTCTATTCTCCCCTCCAGCTCCTTGTTTCTTGTCTCTGCAGCCTGTGGAAAGATGTCGGGAAAACATTAACGTTAACATTTGATGTATCAGCACAGCTGGTTTGTTGTGTGTGTTTGAGCTGAAATGAGCAAGAGCTTTTTCACTTGCAGTAACAAACAAAAGCCTTCTCATGTTGCATGTGCAGCTACACAAAGAGAGAGATCCACTTGCTGTAGGTTGGGACAAAGCGATGGGAAAACATTTATGTGAAAGAAACGTGTTTGCATGTGTGAATGGGACATGAAAGTGAATCTTTCAGACTAACAGGCAACACGAGTGACATGTTAATAATGCTGAAGATAGCAATGAAGGGAGGGATTTAAAATAGGAGTGCTAAAAGGGTGTTGCGCCTGCATGACTATGTTCCAGCTGACTCCTGAAACCTGATCTCCATGAGGGCTGTCATCTTTAAATAGAGGGCAGCCGTAACCACAAACACAGGGGTAGAATAGGTAGACTTTTTTTTTTTTTTTTTTTTTTAAAAAGCATCAACTCTGCACCAGCAAAGATAATTTTTTACAGCATTTCTGTCTAAATTGAGTCAGATTCAGCTTTAGGCTCCATAGTTGGACAAAAGGTATTGGAGAAACCCCATCGTCTATGCCTCTTCTCAGTTTGGATAACTGGTTAGATAAACTCCGGCTTGAGCCATTTTTGCTGTCTTTCACCCAGCTGGCTGCTGCAGAGACAAACCATGCCGTCGAGTGTTGTAAAGCACAAGAACTTCAGGCATGCCACTGTTGGTTTTATTCATCACTCCATGCCCAGATTGAAATGGCAGCACATGCACTGACAGCTTGGACGATAAAAATCCCGATCTGAGTCAGTCAGCACAGGGCGACATGAGCGTCAGTATCAATGCAGCTAATGTCAGACTTGGCACTAACAGGACACACGGTGATCCAAAGAGCCTGGCTCTTCTAGTTCTACAGAAAGTCTGATATTATTCAGCGAGGAGTCAGCTTTGAAGAACAGGTGCCCTTTGTTACAAAGAAGACGTGAGGCTTCTCACAGGCACAACCCACACACCTACAGAAATGTTATAAGAGCTGATCATTAAAGCTTTGAGCAGAGCTCTCAAACTACTTCAGCTGTTTTTATAGCAAAAACAGATCAAATCTGCACCAGCAGGAAACTAATAAGCTGTGACAGAGACATATCTCTGTTCCACTGAAGAGGGAGAAAAAAAAAAAAAAAAAAAGAACCCTTTTCAAAGAGGCAATAATCCTCTCTGCGTTGTACTGGGGACGGACCTTTATTATTAGATACAGTAACGACGACAATGTGCGTTAGTGAGACACGTGATAGGAATGTTGTGTCACCAGCCCTCAGGCAGAATGATGAATAGCAACTCTTATTGCCTACCCTGAAAGCGCTGCTTACGCCTCAGAGCCCGAGTGTTAGCTCGCTGTGATAGCCATTGTGTCCTCACGTGTGTGTTAGGTCTAGACAACTCTCAGCCTGGTCTCTGTACTCTGCAGTAAATCACACCTGAGGGGGGGTAAAAACTAGGGCTTGTGCCGGGTGCTTTTGAACGTACCTGCAGTTTCGAAGTGATGCTCTCACACTCCGACATGAGCTGAGGGATTATCTCTGCCTGCTTCCTCAAATTCTCCAGCTCCTGGGAATAATGTTAATAATAAAAAAATGTAAAATCCAGCGATTCCGATGTCAGTCAGGGTCTTAGGAACAATCTAAGTTATTTAGCTGAAGGACCTTTGAAATTTAAAATAAATCATTCTTAATTGCTTTTTTGTATAAAAGTATGTAGATAGACTGACAAGAACAGCACCCAGATAAAACAGGACATTTAAGCCAGTAATTAACTGCTTGCCAAGAAAAGAAGAAAAAAAAAGTGTGATGCCCAGCACAAACCCTGGAACATAATTACAGTCATGATTTTATGTCAGTGTTAATTAAGGTGCACCATCCTTTGTAAATAAGCCAACCAGGAAAAATGAAAAAAGGTCAAAGTGGTACAAAGAAGGCAAAAAGGACATCAAGATCAAGAGATAGCCTTGTGATCATGCCTCCGTCTCCTTCTCAGGTAAACATCTCAGTTACTGCTCTGAAAACCTCCTCCCTGCTTTAAGCAAAACACTATGCGGCTTCATGGCATCTGTTACCGCTTCGAGCACATCTTCGCCAAGTAATAATTGCTTGAGTCTTTGTAGTTACCTGCAGCGGCTTTGTTCTGTTAGTTCACCGCTGGCCAGCACAGGGGTCACAGCAGTCAACTCTTAATAATTCATAAGCACACTTTTAAGTTTGAGGCGATGAGGATGTGGATTTCTAGACAGGGAGGGGGTGAGTCACTGTGCAGGTGAGCCTCTGTGGGCCGCCTGCGGCAGCAATGTTGTGCACACAAGGAGACTTTCTCTGCAGACCCCATGGTCGGTGTTCACAGCGTTATGGAGGATACACAAGAAAGGCAAAGCCGAGCTCCCAAAGGATGCCATTCTTTGCTCATCATCTTTCAAATTCAGCTCCAGCTCTTTGAACTACTTCCCTTCCTCTTGTTGTGTAAAATATATACCGCCTTCGAAGGAATGATTTATATGTTCTATTAATACTCTGGCCGCCATGTGGTAAACTAGAATATCCCAGACACTCTTTACCTCAGGCGATCTGAATGGGACACAGTAAAGCTGTTATTGCCACTGAATTGAAAGAGAGGGCATTGCACTATATGAGACAGATGCACAGATGACCCCAAACCAGAAGTATATAAAAATGCATACATATCCTACTTATGGTTTTCACACGTTACTGATTGCGTCTCCCTTTCTTGGCATCGACAGGGAGACGCAGTCACTGCTGAAAAGGGCAGCAAGACTCTTAGATTGGCAGAAGTCAGTTCTAATTTGTCTGCGGTCAGAAAACGGCATCTAACCAGCAATAAGCAAAGGTTAAAATCCCAGTGGTCGCACAGAGTTCATCCTCATTAGAAAGAACAGCGCCATTAGGCCGTGCTGAGCTGACAGTCGGCTAGTTTGGATTATGGATGATTAATGTAGGAGACACAAGGTGGTTTCTTTCAGGTTTGACTAGAGTGGATTAATTTTTAATTTTTTTAACAGTACAAAAAACCCCAAAACAGTTTGATCAATCAAATTGAGTCAACGGGGCAATATAAAGAGCTGTCTGGGATTAAAATTGGAAAAAATAAATAAATAAAAAAAATCAATCCACACAAAACCCAAAGCAGAATCTAACATTTCCTATTGAGGCCTAATCACTTCCTCGGGGAAATAAAAAGGCACTAGAACTAGTTTGTAAAACAAACTCTCCATTGCAGCTCTGCAGACCGACCATTGTGATGCACGTCTCACCTGCTCCTTGTCCTGTAGCTCAGCCTCCAGCTCCTTTACCCTCACAGTCAGCTGGGCGTTTTTCTGCCTCTCTTGATTGGCTTCATTGCACTGGGCTTCTAGTTCAGCAATCTAAAATGCAGAAGGGGGGGGGGGGAGTTAAAAGAAAAATTAGGCATTTTTTTTAAGCTAATCAAGCGGAAGCCTGGATTTGTTGTAGAGTATAATGGCAATTTCAAAACTGATACCAACAATTAAAAAAAGGAAGGGTTAGAGAATAACACTGGTACCACACCAGCCCAGCTGCAGAAACAGCCCACGTTGATTATGAAACTAAAATGATTCTATTTTTAGCAGACTGAGACTGCAGGCAACACAGAAGCTAATGAAATGTACAGTACCTACAGTGTTTTGCTCTGTACAGATTTTGACCAAACCCGTGGCAGAGAACTCTGTGTGTGCAGTTTGTGATAGAGTTTTCTTCTTTTAAAGCAGCGGAAACGGTTTATCAAACCTGTCACTTTTTCCTCAATCAATGGGCTAGTCTACATTGTTCAACTTCCCCGTAGGAGTGCATGAGTGTATTACCTTGTTCCTGAGCGTGTCACTCTCCTCCTTGCAGGCACTAAGCTGTTTCTTCCAGCTCTCTACATTAGCTGAAGACTCCTGCAGTGCATCCACCAGCCTGGCATTATTTTCTCTTAAAGTCTGAAGCTCTGTTTCCCACTTCTTGGCGTTGGTGTTGCTGTCAGACAGGAGTGACAGAAAGAGATCCAGCAGGAGAGTTATTAATGGAAGTAAAATTTTATTTCAACCACTCCGTTTTGAAAAGCTTGTGAGTGCCAACACGGAACATATTTCTACAAACTCCTTCCAGACACATCTACTTAATTAGTATTGCTGCACATTACGCTGTTGAGAGATGTTTAGACCACAATAAAAAAAGAGAAACAAAAATTTAAGCTAGAAGTAGATAAAATTCCCCCAAAATCCAACAAACTGGCACCAGCATGTGATTTGTTATCTTTCATATCACAGTGAGTGTATTCCTATCTTATCGATAAGGATGGGGAGATATGTGATGTATATTTAGTATGCATCACTGTCCCCACTTCCTTATGCATGGCTGGGTTGAAGTGTTTTGCTCTATCATCAAATGTGGACAGACTGGCATCGCAGCATTCTGCAGTCCTCTGCTGTTTCACTGCTGTGACACTCTCCAACAAAAACAAAATCCAACAGTTCTGTGAATGCATGGGAAAATGCACACAGAGAGACAATTTTACATCCAGAAGCTAGAGATATTTAGATGCCCTTATATGAAGTGAAGCGCTTCCTTCAGCAACTGTTTCATATCAGTGTTGTATTAAATTCTCAATTATGGCTTTTTGATTTTGTAGGTTTGTTTATTAGGATAATTCCTGAAAAGAGCTCTGCAATCAAAATTTGGACTTTATTAGTTTACCAAAGGAATTTTAATAAGTGAACTGGTCAAGATAACCTCAGATTCTTTAGATATACAAAGGGAGCACTGTAGAGTGACATTTATGCAGTGTGGTTGTTGTTCTCAGCTGGTGCTTTGAGAAAAAAAAAAAGTAAGGAAGGAAAAAAAAAAAAACATTAAAAAGAAACAAAACAAGTCAGAAAATAATAATCCCCGGGCATGCATTTACTTTAATTTTTTATAATTATTTTATAGTTTCATCTTAACGATTTAGCACAAGTACAAACATTTGTTACAAAGCAAACATATATGCCAAGAACGGCACCGCTATAGCTCAGCTGGTTAGGTAGGTTAAGCAGGAAAGGCTGCAGTGGCCTTTGTGTAATTAGTACCAACTTGCAGTGACTTTTTCAACTTTGTCAGTTTCTTTCTAGGGAAATTAATGAGAACTACAAGATCTGTAAAAATGAATTGTTATCCACACCACTCATGCAAATGTTAATGTAGTTCTTACTTTTTTTAGGGGTCTGTTGCTGCCAGTAAAAATTTGCAATCCCCTCCAGTCCACCCGCACATCTGGATCAAATAAATCCAATATGATATGGGATTTTATTTTATTATTATTTTTTCCCCCAATTTCCTCACTGTGGTTTTAATTGACTCTGATGGCCCGGGGCCCAGGGTCATTTTAATCCCATCTGGAATCACATCTGGCATTTCATGCAATTACCAATTTGTACACTCTACATCTGGATTATAAAGCCCAAATAACCAAACGGTGGACTGGAGGAGCATCACTCTTTGGATTATATGCTTTCTGAGCCCTTTTGGAGTCATTACTGCTCTAAGTAACAGCAATCAAATAAAGAGAGAGAACATACGAGCACAGTTTAATATGCATGAGTGTGATCAAGAGCTGATATGATCTGGATTGGGTTTACACACTTGCATGCTTGTAATATAGTAGTTTATATGTATAATATAATAAATATTGAGCAAGCTGTTCGATTGGACGAGTGTCATGCCATAATTATGCAGTACCTGTCTCACTGAAGTGTGTCCAATCTGCTTATTTTACATTCAAACAGCCAGATTTCAAACACCTGTGTGGTTTCTGTTTGATGCCACAGGAAAAGTTTATACAGCACTTGCATCAGCAGCAGCAGCTGCAGGCCAAGCAGTGTGTGAATTTTTATTACTTTTTATTTATTTGGTTGTGATGAAACAGTTGCAGAGAAGTAAAATCAGTTATAAAGTATGTGTTTTAGTTGGTTTGCATCATCACACAGTACGAAAGTTCTTGTTTGAACCAGCTGTTTCCAATTCGATTTTTCTATTTTTATTCTTTTTTTAAAAACTGAAAAAAGAAAATTGTTGGAAAATGTGTTTTCATTTGGTGAATACAAATTTTAATATGAGCACTTTGATGCAGCCCGGGATGTGAATCTTGAGACTGATATTTAGTAGATTTGAAACAGGATTTAATCACATATGATTTCACATTAAGTTGATGAAATAAAAATCTTACCTCTGCTCTACTGCACTCTTGAGACGTTCATTCTCACTCTGTAGGAGAGCAGCCTCCGGACCGACGTGAGAGATTTTCTCATCATCTGTCCCATTAATGCTGGATGCCTGGTTGGTTGAGGGTGTATCACGACCAGATTCCGACTGAGAAATTGAGGGAAACTTTTGTTTCAAAGCAGGTTTTAAGGAGGCCTGTGGTTAACATGCAGCCACCTAAAAGGGTCTCATGGGTTAAAAGACAGAACTCTATCTCAGAAATCCTGCTCTCTGAAAAAGGGCCCTAGGCTTCTTTTGGCAAAACGCCCTGAAGACGTCAGCTATGACAGCCAAGGGTTGAGGGTAAATGCTTGCCAGTATCTATCATGTCATATGGGCCAGAAGCTTTGTGTGCTTCAGGGCTGATCCTTAGCACCTGGAGCCAGAGCGAGTAGAAAGCAGGCATGTTAGTTGTGGGTGACTGTGGCATGAACCACTAACTATCATTATCATTTATGTAGATCTGAGCAAATTTACTGTCACTGTTTATAGCTTCCTTATCCTCTAAGTTACTGTTGTGCCTGCAAGGTAATAAGGACGATCTTTGACCTCTTATTCATGACGGCTCACACTACTCCACGATTCCGTTGTAATATTTAAACACGAGATCCATTAATATTTGAACATATTTACATACATAATTATGCCAGAAGCCATTTCTAAACACAGAAAGTGTATCATTTGGTGTTTGTGAAATCATTTCTCATTTTCTCTGTGGCCCTGTAAGCTTTCTGGAAGCCAACACACTGACTGTAGATGAAACGGGTGGAAAGCCAAAGAGATGAAATGAATCAGACTTTCATACGGCACAGAGATATTATTTACCTGGGAGTGATTACTCAATGTCTCCACCTTCTCTTGAGATTTGTCCCTTGCTAGCTTAGCCTGTTCTTTTACCTCCTGGAACTTCTCAGCAAACTGAAAGTACAAGAAGAGATGTCAGGAAGCTGTGGTTATTAGTGGCAAGGCGAGGTTCATTTTTAAACATTATCTAAGGATGGTGAGGATCCGCGATACCCTTAAATATATATCTGATCGTTCCAGTTCTCTACCAATTTTAACTGATAACAAAGCTGCACTTTTCCACACTTTGATTTTACCACAGATTCTACTACTATTACTACAACTATTAATAATAATAATAATAATAATAATAATGATGATAATAATACATCAACAACTACAATAACATTAATAATAAAGAAAAGCTAACCATTTAAAAAAAAACAAAAAAAAAACAAAAAAAAAAACACAACACAGATTCAGTTTAAGCCCTTCAACCTCCAAAGCATGATCCCCTCTTGAAAACAGTTAAGAGCCCCTGATCATAATGTCAGAGAGGCTGACCGTTAGAATAAGGGCTCAGCAGGTTAACTATACAACATTTTAAATTGATTCTGTGATTCTGGATTTTACTTTAAACCAGCAAAGAGAATCAACGAAAGGGGAAATGAGCCATCCATCAGCTTTATGAAGGATCTGCTACAAAAACCTCTCACCTTTGTGAGCTGCTGCTCTGAAGCGAAGCCCAATCCAAACACGGTGTTGGCCCTGCTGTCGGCCCACTGGCCAAACTTCTGTGATGTCTTGGTGAACGTCATGTTGGGTGTGATTGTGCTGTTGATGATGACCTGTTGGGAAATAACACAGATTTTCTAAGCCTATAAGAGACCATACTGTTATCAATACAGAGTACAGTTAGAGTCATGTGTAATCCTCCCAGCATAGTTCTCAGGTCTTTCTGACACTCCTCATAAAAATAACTGATGTTGGATTTCAGCAGTACAGAGGTTGGAAAATTATGGGTCTCATTCAGCCAAGACATATTACAGAAGCTGTTCCAGCAGCTGCATTCACATAATAAATAGGCCCACCAATTTAATAAAGGACAATCCTCTATTGTAGCTCCATTCACACCAGACTACACCTGTAATATGCTGATGGCTGTATGCCAGTGCCCACACACGGCATATTTATTATTTCTTTTAAAATGATCCAATCATATAAAAAGCAGATTTCTAAGCATGTCTCTGAAATATATAGCAGTTATGTGTTCACAGAAAAAAAACACTTTCTTAAAGAGTACTAATCTTTGATTATTGTTAAACCAGAGGGCATACAAGGTTTCCACATTTATAATTTAGGATGCTGAATAGCAAACACTTTGTCAACCCAGAGTTTTAAAGTTTCGACATTGTCGCGTGAATCAAACGTACCATTTTTAATACACTCCAATAACCTGTGTGGGACATTCATGTGTTCCCTTAATGTTTAAAGGGTCGCAACAGAAGATGGATTTGCACCTTTGATTCAGCAAAGATTTCACACAGGATGACCTTCCTGATGCAACACTACCATTTATCCAGGATTAATTATCCTAAAGCTTATTAACATCAGGTTTGGTTAAGGATTTATCATACACCAGCAATCAGGTTGAGCTATTTGCAAAAGTCTTTATTGCATATTCAGCTCCACGCAAAAGACCTCCACTACTTTGTGATACTGATTTAAATAAAATAGTTGCAGACCACTGCCTCTCTCAACTCACTCGTTTCATTCCCCAATTACAAATAAAGTTTTGTTCACTAAATAATTTACATGCAAATGTAAAAAGCACACACAAATGGAAAAACACTGACTGCTGACCCGCTAACCTCTAAGCAGTTGAAGTACAGTCTCTATATTTGCCATGGTATCCATTCACCTGTTGTAGCCATGCTGCAACTCAGATGCCAGAAAACATCTGCTGCAGTCTAAAATTGTAACGGGTGCATGTGTCAGTGAAGAAAGCAACACGTGTCTAAACACCATGTCAGCCTGACTTCACCGATTTGTATATCGCATCACAGTTCATATAGACAACTCTGATCCTCTGTGATGCTAGGTGTGCATGTAAACACAAGCAGCTTTGATTTATTGCTGCATGCACACAAACCCAGTCTCACTACAGAGATATAACAGAACTTAAAACCAGCACACGCAAATTATCCCAACGATTAAGAAACAATAGAAGACAGTCTAATGGCAGAGCAGCCCTTGTTTCATAGCAACATGGCTCTGAATACAGGATCTGAGGATTTAAACTGCTGACAGACTCGTGTCCCATTCTACGCCCCCACTGTCTCCCTCTCCATCTTTTTAGTGGCTGAGGTGTTAAAACTCTTTATACCACATCATTACTGGACACAGTGAGCCAAAAAGCAGAGGAGCCTGAGCGAGCGGAATAAGGATCATTAGTACGCAATTAATGTTTGTCCTCTATTTAGATCAATGCTAATGGCGCCTAGGGAGAAAGATCACAACAGGTGAACAAAAAAAAAAAAAAAAAAAGACGACCATCAGGCAACACAGCTAAAGATTACAACTGCAATCTTTGATGCAGGCATCATTCCCACATCAAGGGTTTATAAGGAGACTGGCAATTTACCAAGGCACTGCTAATCTGATCTTAAAAATCATCACTCTTTCAGAGGCTTCTTCAAAACAAAGGTGACCCAATTTCCCCTGAAGTGGAACCTGGGTAAAGCCGGAACAACACTCCTACGTCTCATCTCTAGCAGTGAAGTGAATATTTAACAGGGCTCATAACTCTGGCTCAAAGAGAAGTGTTAAGATAAGATGAAACTTTAATGATCATTGTGGAAAAAGTGGAGTGCTGCTGCGGAATAAAGCGAAAAAAGGAAGGAGTTAGGTAAACACGCAGTAAATGTCTGCAACCAGCGGCGTATAAAATGTGAATTTCCTTTGGAATAATAATCCTCTCTTTTTTTATCTCGTGTGTGATGAATGCTTTCAGATAATTCTCAAAATAATTAGGAGAAATTCTGTTTGTTTTGTTTTTTTAAGAGGTAGAAATTTTTTTTTCACTAAATTTAATTTTATTAAACAAAAACATAATGCAAGATAACTCTTGCTATAAGATCTGAAACACAGCATGATGACGTTTATACCACTGAAGCTACACACTACAGGTACAAAGACCTGAACGCAGTCAGTGCTTCTCAAACATTTTACTCCCCGCTAAGTTTTCTTAAAAAAATTCATTACCATAAAATTATTTCATAATTAAACGTACAATCGGCATGTGGACTCTTAAATTGCGAGTAATCGGCAGTTCTCTGGGTGAAAATGTAGACTGCTTTGAGGTGAAGACAATCTCAATAACCACTTGTTATAATCAAGGTAAGCAAAAAAACATCTGTGAAAGTACAACAAATCGACCCTTGAAGCAGATGGGCTACAGACTACTACAGCAGATGATACCACTACTGTCAGCCAAGAACAGGAAACTGAGGCTATAATTTGCTTGGTCTCAGCAAAGTTGGATAATAGATCGATAAATGTCACCTAATCTGATGAGTCTTGACTTCCGCTTCAACGTTCAGATGGTAGGGTGAGAATTTGGTGTAAACATGAAAAGCCATCCAGCCTTGGTTCAGGTTGCTGGTGGTTGTGTAATTGTGTGGTGACATATCAACAGATCTTAAACCCACAGAACTTTTGGGATGTCCTGGAACAGGAGATTATCATCACCTGCAGCCTAGGAATCTGCAGCAATTGCATGATGAGGCATTTCTGAAGGCAAGAGGGATTTATTTCTCCCCGTTTTTTTTTTTTGTTTTTTGTTTTTAAAACCAAACAACAAAGCAATGTCAAACTATTCCATTATTTTCTGCCATCTTGAATACATCTCATTGCAGTTTTATACTATATATTAATAAAGAAAAACACTGAGACTAATTAAACTACATACCTGTAACTTGATACCTACTGAACTAAAAGTATCTGCAGAGAAAGGCATTTACAGTATCATCTATAATGTAACATGGGATACAAAGTTACCCCCACGAGACCTGTGACTGTATGTTTGGCACGCATATGTAAATGACCCAGTGAGCAAGCCAATGAGAGAGTGGGAGGGTGTGACGGAGGAAAGGGAGGGGGTGCAGAGTGACGCTGGCAGCTGTGTGGATGGTGAGCCGGGCTGTGGATCAAGTGGCACAGGAGGCACAGAGTGAAGCTCGGCAAGCTAATGGCCTGAGGGTCAGCTGGAAACTCAGAGACAGCCAGGAGGTTATAAGGGAAAGCTTCCTCGGCCGATTAGGTGTCTGCAGAGTGCACAGAATCTGCAGAGTCAGTGATTAGGAAAGGAGATGTAGAACATGAGAGATCAGTTATCAAGCACCAAATACCAGATGACTTTTTCATGGTTGGAAAGGAAAAAAAAAACAAAAAAAAAAACAGCTGAAGTTATCTACTGATAATTAGGACGAACAGGAAGGAATCTTTTTTTCTTAAAAGGACATACAAAAAAATAAAAATCTGAATTATGGTGACAAATGCGCAGTGAGGATAGTCATTATGATGCTGTGGTATATCTGAAACACAGCCAATGATAGGTGAGACAAAGTCTGCCATGTCCTGTCATTAAACCAGAAAGCAAAGTGGAAAAATTGCGATTGCTCATCAGGTAGAGGTGTGATGCAGATGAAAAAATGTTCAGTATTTCTGTATGTCTGCCAACTGCTTTAATGTCCTGATGCATTTCATCTCACCATATATTAAGAACTGCAAAAAAACAAAACACTGTTCCTCAGTGGTGATGACGCAAGTTTTGTTACCTAACACCACTTTTAACTCAACTTAGCAGAATGTATTTTTTTTTTACAGTTTTTGTGTGAATTATATTTGTTTTGTACATCTGCTGATGTTTATGACGCATTTTAGCAGAAAGTTGAATTAATAAGTCTGCTAGTTCAACATCCCGAATGTAGCTTTTGATCTCTGAGAAAGCCAAGACCTTCACAAGGTCTTTGCAGACCTATAAATCCAGGTGTTGCCTGAATAGAGGGTGTATTTGTACCTTGAGTCACAATAAATACAACACTTCTCTGTATTTATGCTTCAAGTCTTGACAGTTGTCTAATGAAGTGCAGCTTTTTCACTGGCAAAAGTTCAAATGCGTGCTCTTAGATTTATTTATTTTTTGATGTTTCCTGTCCTCGTTTGTTTCCCCTGTTGAAAGAGTCACTGATCTGCAGCTTTGTTTACAATACAGAATTTGCTGATGCTGGGACTTCACACTATAAAAGGTTGGTGCAACTGTGTCATAATCCTTATGGATAATTGTGCTGGGACTGATAACAGCCCAGTGCATTCTCTCTGATGACAGCTGGGCATACAACATAATATCCAATCGGCTAGCTTGACGTACCAGACACTGAAAGGTGGAGTGTGCATATCCCCTAGATCCCCAGGTTTATCGGGGAGGGTGTTATTTTTTTGTTTTCTTGTTCTTGGATGGAAACAAACATTTATGGCTCACAACTTCAAAAAAAAAACAACGAAAATTTAAAAAAAAAAAAAAAAAAAAAAAAAAAAACTTAGCTCTTTATGAGCAGATTGATGATAACAGGAAAACTTGACTTTTTGATAGTTTGATACAAACTATGCTGTTTACGCAAGACCAAAACAACTTTAAAAAGAATGAATAAACCTGATCATCTTGTTTATGTTCCAGCACAATTAACCCTTATTTTTCCACTTTCACAAACAACATGTCACTGGTAGCACTGCACCAAGAATACTTAGCACTTAATAAAATAATTATTTCAGAACCTTCAGGTTTTGGAAATTTTTTTACTCCTTTCTTCCTTGGTATGGGCAAAGCAGCTGAATGCCAACATTTCCCAGCACATTAATGAGCTCTGGCTAGGTAGCAGAATATATATTTGTTTGACAGTTTTGTATTTAACAGTCAAAAGTGACGATTGACAGGAACAGCGAAGAGAAAGGAGGGTATGCCATGCAATGAAGATTGCCCTGGCTTAACAGACATTGTAATAAGCAGACAAAGTGAATGAATACAATGAAATTACTAAATTACACAAGGTGTAAAATAGTCAAAAATTGTCCCTAAAATATGCATTTGATGAATAAAAAGCTCATTTGAATTCTTATTACTGGCAGAGACATGTCTTTTAGCCTACAAGCCAAACTCATAAGCTCATGAGCTTTCACTTAAAAAAAAAAGAAAAAAAAAAGAAGATACTTAATGAAGTGTCAGAAAGATAAATCTAAAAAGAGCTGAGTGTTTTAGGCATTACCTCACAAAGTTATCATACTGGGAATTATTTATAAAGTACAGCTAGATGTGTCCTCACTGTGTTGTCACAGCACTTGGTACATCGTTGCATGAGAAGCACGATGCAGGCTGAGCGACAGTCAAAAGTGCTGATGCGCTCCTCTACTTGCCATATCATCATCAGCCAGTTGCCCAGACATCATAGGTGGATGAATACAAGCTGATGGTCTGTCATAGTTAGTGCGTGCAACAGCACAGAATTATTCTAGACAGACCTGTCTCCCTTGCAGCAACTGTGCAAACTAGAAACTATATTTAACATCTATTTGACATGACTCAACGTTTCTTCGCTTTTGGTTACTTTGCTCATATCGACATCACTTTGACTCACTTAAATTAAATGGATAGGAGGATAAAATTAAAATCAGCAGGAGTCTGCTCCTTTTAAATTGCGATAACATTTGAGAAATTCCTTTTCCCTGTACCTCGCGTACAGCGGTTCCCTGCAGAGATTTTATGACACATAATGTTCTGTTAAGGTTACAGAGGAGGGAGGAGGAGGAGGACAACAACAAAGATGACAGGAGAGGGAGAGAAGAGAGAGAGCACTCATGGCCTTGAGGAAATAGAGGACAAAATATTGATGCTTTTAGACATGAATAAATAATAGTCCCATTATCTTTCTCACAAATAAAACAGACATGAAGTAGTAGATATAGTTTATCTTTAGTAATCTATTGTCAGCTGTTGTCATCCCTGCAGATCCATAAGTGCTGGCTGATGACATAACACATTAAAGTCTTGCCTCTGTAGCTGTAGGAAGAAAGCTTTCAATGCTTTGAAGCTAGCAGAGCTTGACTCAACAATGCTTTGCTGGAGAAGAGAACCGATGCTTCTTTTACTTAAAATTGTGCTGTAAGGCTTAAACTGCCCAGAAAAGTGAGTTAAAATTCTAAGAATGAACACAAGCTCTTTACAGTAGAGCCAGATGGTCAAAAACATACAAAAAGAAAAAACAAAAACAACAAAAAAAACATGCTTTGCACTAAGAAGACAGCAGGACATGCTTGCTGTGCAAAAAACACAACACCGATATGCTGACTTCCTGTGAGAAAGCCACTCATCGCCTGCTGGTAATCTTAACTCCTCAATCCTTTCACCGAAGCAGAGAAGTGAAACTATCAACCAATCCAAACATCTGTCAACACACCCACCCTAAAGTGGCTCTGCAGGTAAACTATGTGATTTAAGACTCTGAAATGTGGTTGCCTAACAGTGTCAACAGAGGAATATCGCTGTCCTGAGGCTCCTCTAGCTTTCTACACAGACAGAAAACTGATCGCCATGGAAACGCATAATGTACTTTTTCAGCAAGCAGAGGAAGACTGTGTGAATATGGGATGTAGACAAATTCAAGTGGTGTCCATCATCACTTGTATTATTTAATCTTAGCACCATGCTCACAACTACAAAAAAAAAAAATCACTATAACACAAGCAAAAGTTGACACTTTCCCCCTGCAGTGTGGCCAGTCTTTAAAAACTCTACCACCCTCAGAGTATGACGACTGTTGGCTTTTTGTTGATGACATGAAATTACAGATAATTGAGTTTAATTGTGACTCCACAGGTCGGCAGCTCTTTGATACTCTTGTTAATCTATTAGAGGGGAAGATTGCTAATATTTCAACTTACATGGCAGTTATTCAAGTTAATGTTATGATTAACATATTTGTTTTGCAAAGCTCCATGTCTGGAAACAGTTTAACTAGGCAGAAGATCCTAGGTAAGCACAGAAATCATCAATGTGTGTCCCATATTCATATTTTTATGTGCTGTGTGTGCTTTTAAATACATTAAATCCATGGAAACAGCTGGCAAATAAAAATGCAGAGCTCACACTTTTTTTTCCTCCCTTAATTGGACAGTCAACACGAACATTTTTATTTTATGAACTGTAACACTGCATTAATTTTAAAAAATATTTTATTAGATGTATGTTTATACAGTTAATGGAAAGTACAACTGTTTAATGGGCAATTCTGAATTTTAAGGTCTCCAATTAACATTGCTATAACAAGTATACACAGTTTAAACTGTAGCAGTACCAAATGCAGCGACAGTATAGAAAGTCTGTTTCAATGTAGTCTATTTATTACATTTAAACTACAGCCAACCTTTACATGACCTCATTTCCACAGGCTCAAAAGTAATTGGACAAACTAAAATAACTTTGAAAAGTCTTTAACATGGTGATGAAAATCCTTTGCAGTCAATGATTACCTGAAGTCTAGAACCCATGCTCGTCACCACATGCTGTGTATGCACTCTGCCAGGTCTCGACTCTCACTTGTTTGTGGGTGTCTCTGCCTTCAGTTTTGTCTTCAGTAACTCCAAAGTGTGCTCTGATGGTCTGAGATCAGGTGACCAACGTGCACATTGAAAAATATCAAATTTCTTTCCCTTGAGAAACTCTTGGGTTGCTTTCACTGTATGCTTTGGGCCATTATCCTTGTGTACTGTGAAGCACCGTGGGATCAGTTTTGATCTGAGCAGAGAGTACAGCCATGTACACTACAGAGTTCATCCTGCTACTTCTATCAGCAGTCAGATAATTAATAAATACTGCTGAACCAGTTCCACTGGCAGCCATACATGCCCATACTATAGCAGTGTGTTTGACAGAATAAGTGTTGTGCGTCAGATCATGTTTCTCTCCTTACCTCATAGATTTCCCTTCCTATCATTCGGGTACGGGTTAAACGCGTCTTCATCTGTCTAAAGATTTTTATTTCAGAATTACGCCAACACGTTTGGAGATCTTCCAGCGAGGTCTAATCTGGTTTCTTTCAGTTGCATCAACAACTCTCACATAGACAGTTCCAGTGAACTGAATGCAAGTTCAATACTTGAATCAACTCCAGAATGCTTAATTTGTCATGGAATAAATGGTGAACAAGCCTGACAAGACATGAAACAACTTGTCAGTCAACTGTTACTTTTGAAACTCTGAAAATGGGGGACTGTGCATAAAATGACTCTAATTACTGAACAGCTAATGCAATGGTTTTGTCAAACCCCTTTTTTAAGCTAAAAGTCTGTACTTCAATCACATCTTGATCATTTGATCATTAAAATCCACCGTGGTGATGCACAGAGACAAACCTAGAAAAACTGTGTCACTGTCTGACACTTATGGACCTAACTGCAGGTGTCAGCCAGTCCGGTTAGACAGTTATTTCAGCTTAGCACTACATGAGTAGACTAAACTTTGACGCTTTCCCCTTAAAGATGAAGTTTGACCTCAAGCCTCCTGTTACTAGGGCTGCTCCCAGTAAGTAGGCTTTCAAGGTGTAAAGAGTTAATAATACAACAATTCTAACTGCTAAATATTGTGACCTCAAATAGAGCTGATGTCATCTTTTTCTTTGTCATTGTGCAATAAATTTAATATCAAATTATTCAGACAAACGCAGAGGAGTTGCAGGAAACCTTAAACATTGCCATGTTGGACTAACGCTAATCAGTGAGAGCAGCAAATGCAATACTGACAGCTTGGCAGCACCTTTTGTTCAATACTATTAAGTGTTTCTCTCGTTCCATGTCTCCCGAGGGCAGTTATTGATATTGATATTGTTACACAACGATACAGAATATGCACACACATACCTTGGTTCCATCGACACTGATAATGCGGTAGCTGTTACGCGTGCTGTCATAAAAATAGGAGACAGTGACAGCCTGCTTGCTGGCAGGAACCCAGTTCTTCTTGGTAGTTGGGTCGATTTGGAAGACATGGGCCCTGGTGGTGTAGATCGGCTGCTCCCTGAAGAGCAGAAGACAGAGCAGAGGGACGATATTAGAGGGCGATTGAGATAAGACACAACATGGAACTACAGCTCAAGATAACATCCACTGATAAACGAGCCAAATCTCTCTCACACACAACACACACAAACAGAGCTACAGGGTGAATAAAAGCTTTATCACATAAAGTCTGCAGAGACCGTGTGCTTTGTGTTCAGAAATGCAGAGTCCTGAGAGTCTTAGTGTGGACAGGCAGGTGATAATGTAACACAAACCCTTAATTCTCATGGCAACCCAAAGCCATTAGCACATTAACACCCCCCTTCCCTCTCATAGGTGTCAGTAACACACTAGATGTTTGGACTGTGCACTTTTATGTGTTTAGAGAAAGATTTTTCTAGTGCACCACAGTCAGATAATTGACTTTTCTCACACCAGCTGCCTACTACTGGATGCAATGTTAATCTAACCAAGTGATCACATTGTCAAAACAGTTTTTACACTAAACATGCACAGTGCTAATGGCAACATGTCACTCTGATAATGCACATAATGCTTGCCCATTTTCTTAGTATGTTATTATCATGTCACATTTGCAATTACCCACATCCAAAAGCAGTTTTTGTTTTGTTGAACAGTTTATATATTGCACAGCACAAGGCACTGAATTAAACATCAGTTGGATTAATTCCTAATTATGATTTTGCATACATTTGCCATCATCATGAGTCATCTTTTATAATCAAAGAAAACTGCTTTGTATTACTTCGCTTAGCTTGAATGGTAGCACGTTATCCATAAAACACCGATATTAAACCTGTAAACTAATGGGGATTCTCAGGATTTATCGGCAAACGACTGTACTGGGAAACATCGGTAAAATGGAGTCCACTCATTACGGGAATTATAAGTAGATAAAAGCTCTGCTGAGCCCGTCTCTGACTCATTTCAGTGTCCACTTTTAGAAAGTATTCACAAGCTGATTCAAGTTAAGCTTTTGTCCAGCCCAGTTTTACTGCCACGTCTCTGTCATTATACTCAAGCAGTTCTCTCTCCATTTTCAATCTCTTACAGCCTCATTATAGTTTAATCATTTTTAAGTGAAAAGGTGAAACCACACTCGACTTTAAAAAAAAAAAAAAAAAAATGTATAAAACCCAAGTCAGCAATAAATGTGATGGAGAAAAGTTCAAAATCATGTCATCTATCCGTGGGAGTGAAGTAATCTGCCTCTCAGCCATGAGCTGCACACCGCCCTTGTGATTCAGAAGAGCATCAGCATGAGGAGCAGGATCAAGGCGCCTGTTAAACTTGAATGACCGCAGACTAAATACAAATGCTCCTCCTCTCAATGACATCCACAGACACACCTTTATGATTCCGATGACAGTCCTGCTGTTACCTGGAAACATAGCCTGACTCAGTAAGACAAGAAGTGGATTTTCAGCTTTCACAGCTTTTAACAGAGGAGAACAAGAAGAGAAAAAAACCCTAACCTTTTGCAAATAATTTGAACCCCACGCTGAAATAAAAACTGTACAAAGAAAACACATGAAATAAAACCAAAATTGATGGCCTGTATTTGTATAGCGCTTTACTTCGTCCCTAAGGACCCCAAAGCGCTTTACACTACATTCAGTCATTCACACACTGGTGATGGCAAGCTACATTGTAGCCACAGTTACCCTGGGGCGCGCTGACAGAGGCGAGGCTGCCGGACACTGGCGCCACCGGGCCCTCTGACCACCACCAGTAGGCAACGGGTGAAGTGTCTTGCCCAAGGACACAACGACCGAGACTGTCCAAGCCGGGGCTCGAACCGGCAACCTTCCGATTACAAGGCGAACTCCCAACTCTTGAGCCACGATCCCCAATATATGTAAAATTTATTTTGATTTGTATAATTTCAGAAAAATTGAACAGAGCTGACAAAGGAATGAAGAATTGTTGTGACACTTTCAACAACAAAAACAAAACACACACACACACACACACACACACACACACATAAAAACCCCTTCTATTTGTAGATTGCAAAAAATCAGAAACTGTCATTTAAATGTTCATCTATTACTTAATATTTTGGTGTAGTATGAATGACCCAGAGGTTTTTAAATCAGTACGGTAAGATGTAAAAATGTAAAAACTTTAAAACTAGTTAAAAGTCCAAAATGTATGCCCCTTTTCACATTTTCCAAAGTCTTTGGCGGGCCAATTCTGGGCCCCAGACCATATGTTTGACACTCCCCGATTTAAAGAATGCAGACACTGAGTGATCTTCAGGTGACACTGTATTAAAATAGACATGACTCTGTAAATCAATTAAATTTCAAGCCATTGTGATCGCTGGGTTCAGTAAAAAGAACACATCGGTATCTACTACACTATTACACAGTTTCAAAGCTTGTGGTTAAAAATAAATAAATATTTAAAAAAAAAAAAACTCCATTTGAAAGCAGACCATCCATTTTTAGTGTTTCAAGGCAACTATGCAGAAACCTAAGACTGAAAGAGCACTGCCGCTAGAAGCAAAAAAGTAATAAAAAACAGTCTGCCTTCTCTTTAATGATAGTGCTTTAAAAGGACTGGACTCGGGAGGGTTAAAATTTCCACTGGAGGTTCTCATTTCAAAAGGCGAGTGCAGGTGGTTGAAATACTCCTCTATAACGTTCCAAGAGTGAGGAATAATTAAGTGGAGTGGCTGAGATGAGAGGGATCATAGGACACCTCAAGAACTTAATAATGGATACAAGCTGAAGAATGTGGGGAGACAGATTCAAAGTACTTGTTGGAAATCAAAATGTGAATTAAAAAATACTTTCAGAGACAAAATATAGATTAGAAAGATGCCACTGCTTGGTACAAATAACCTGACTGTTGTCAATGCTTTGTTATTCTGATTGCAGTATATTTTAGTAGCTTGTTCTGAGCACATACTGATCATTTTGTTATCCTTTCTTTAATTCCAAGGGCCCTCCAACCACCTCCAACTGACACCAAAAGAGCTTCTGTCCCACAAGGCACAGTCAAATGCATTGTGAAAACTGTGCCTTCACAGAGGAGTGAAATGCAATGAACCGTGCAAACATGCATAACACACTCATGAACAATCCTTCCTCAAAGGCATCCAAAACATTGCAAATGGTTATAGAAACAGAAAGTGACATAAGTAATTGTGTCAAGAAGGGGGATAAAGCCTCTGGGGAAAAAAACAAAACAAATCTACAGCTGATCATCAGTTGTATGAAATGGGTGTTCTTGTGACTGTCGCTTTAGGAAAATAAAGAAAATGTTGGATGCAGCCCCCCCTCAGTGCTGACATCGGGGAGTAAGTGGGCTTTCACATGCTGTTCAGCCATCTGAAGAGCACTTCAGTGGAAGCATATTGATGCCTTGAGTAGTGAGCTACAGTACAAGCACAGCACAGTGCAGTTCGTTCCCACGTTCCTGGAAAACAGGGAGAACAAAATGTTTGCTGGTATTACATGTATTTTGCTGCGGTCCATAGTGTGTCGGACCCACACATTTACACAAGCCCATACTGTAGATTCTAGTCTTTTGTTTTGGATTTCACCTTCAATTCTCCATCTAAAGCTAAGACCTGGCTAAAATGCACTAAACGCTGAACTCTAATGACTGCAACGATAGTAAAACAGCCCTTTTGAGTCAGAAATTTGGATGCTGTGATGTATGAACAGCCCTCAAGGATGATCTGTATGTTACGCCATATCTTAAGCCAACATCAAACTCCAGGGCAGAAAAATTAAGTTGTCATTTCCTCAAATGGGCACTTCAGGATATCTCTAAAAGCTACTCCACCCCCACAGAATCCCAGGTTAAAATACTCAACTTTACAGCCGAAACGTGTCTCTTCAGGCTGTCTGTTTTTCTGTCTCTATAGTAAATCCACCTGTTTGTGACCACTCCACAGAGTGAATTTATTTTTAAAAACACATCAGTTTAAATTGTGTTGAGGCTTCGTGGGACTGGCAGCATTGAGTCACATGCGGATTTCTCTTAATCAGTGTCAGGTAGTAAAAGACAAAAAGGAGTCAGCTGTTAGTTTTTCTGGTTAGTAGATTTAATATAGTGTTTTTGCTAGCTTAAATTAGCATCTCCTCTTAATATCAAAATGAGTAGAGTTGAATCCCGATAACTAGTCTAGCTAGCCAGCACAAGTATTAGCTCACCCAAACACAGTAATGGCCAGTTTGAAGAAAAATGATCAAAATACCACCATTTCCATCTTATAAGCATCTATAAGAGTCATTCTGTCCTCTGACAATTAGTGATGATTTAATGATAATTTTATTCTCTGTAAAATCCCAAATGTGCTTCTAAAACATTGTTTACACATCACTTATCTGCCTCCACAAAATCTTATCACTTGGACTTGGACTTTTATGGCACTTTTCTACTCTGAGCACTCAAAGCACTTTTTATTACAAGCTGTATTCACCCAATCACACATTCATTCAAACAAGACTAGACTTTGTCTAGCATTCACAATCTTATGGACGCATCGGGGGAAACTTAAATTCAATATCTTGCCCAAACCAAACTGGAGCAGTTGGGATTGAACCACCACAGCAACAGAACCACACAATTTTTTCTACTGCATTATATTTTCTTTGTTATAACCCTTTTTACTGTTTCATTACATTCATTTTCTTGGGCTGGTATCTTCCTTCCTAAACATATGTAATGGTTCTGAGCTAGATACACTGGTACAGCTGCTGTAATGTGATGCCAACAAATCAATTTTGAACATTTTAAGCACGGGGATGTGCTTAGGAAAATTAATCAAAATCATCTGAGTATTTTTTTTTTTTTTTAAATTTAAAAATCTGAACAAACAATTTTTCATGCTGAGAAACGTACACATGTTTGATTAACAGGGTACAGATGGTCCCTTTGTTGTTGCAAAGCTTCACTGCAACGGGCAAAGTGACATGTCTCATGGACAGAAATACTTTAATGCACTGTTATGAATTGCCGGTGAAAATAATGTCAGACAGA